TCCCCTCCTATAGACTAGGAGTTTGTTCTTTGTTTCTGTTAGTTTTTCCTTCCCTGTACGTGTATTTAAGTAGCCCTCTGGTGGCATTAATAAAGCGAAGCATTTAGCCCCATAACTGAGTGTTTTCCCAATATTGTGTGTCTATGATACTAAACAAATATCTTATATTTACATTTAAACATCAAGAACATAATGTTCGATAAAGTAATGTCCTTGACTGTATAAGATAATCTCCAACCTAACATTAAAAACATAAAAATAGAGATGTTTTCATCTCTAACCCAATACTAAAACACAAAAAGATGAAGCTCTCTATATTTGGAGATCATTAAAGTAAGCCTATGTATATATAATATTAAGGGGTCGTTTACTAAACGCTTACTTGGTAAGTGCTTACCAAATAAGTTTCCTTATCGGATGAACATGACAAGGACAAAAAATCTTACAGGGTAAGAGTGATGAGAAGGATGGAGAGTCTTACCCGGTAAGTGAAGAATACGACTCTTACCCAGGTAAGCGCTTACCCGGTAAATTGTTGCATTCAATATGTTTTGATGTATTAAAATCTTACTCATCAAAACAAATGATAGTGTTGACTCCTATAGTAAACACTTACCGGGTAAACATTTGGGTAAACAGCCCCTAAGTTTTCATAATTATATATATATATATATATATATTGATTAATAGTTTAATATATTGAAATATTTATTATTATTATTATAATATTACAGATGGGTTTTTTTTATGTGCGGTTGATTTTGATTTTTTAATGTTCAATGGACCCATCATTTCTAGTGTTTTTAATATTTTTAGCGTTACTTCTTTAGTGATGGTAGTTTGATTGTATTCATGAAAAGTTAATCATTTGGATATGCATTGTACCTAACACATAATATAACTGCTGATTTGAATTAGCCAAATTTTGCGTTATAATAACTACTTATTCATGTCGTTGTCATTATATTATCGAATTCATTTCAATTTGGTAGATGAAATTGTTACGTATATCTATCTATTAAACAATTATTTTGATCAATTCCGAGTCTAGTTTGAATGGGTAATTTGACACTATGATCGAACAAACAATTTATCTTAATTCATATAGACACCAATCCCAACCTGAAATAGAAAAAAAAACGTAAGAAGAAAAGACGGTGGAATGCAGCAACAAGAACCAGACCATTGGATCTTGAATTAGGGGATTCAAGGTACGAATCATGTATCTAAACGTTTATTACAAGTAGTTTGGGTGGGTTTTCGATAAGGGCGTCAAAGGTTAATCATTTCCCCCGGATATTTATGGTGGTGTTGGTTCAACATTGTGATATTAAACTCGATGGTTTAGAAGGGTGCCAATGGGTATCCATGCAACCACAACGATCTCGGGTTCTAGCTAACTTATACGACTTGTACTTCCTAACTTGTATTATAGCTTCACTAAGAATCCCTTCATTTTCTTGCGATCGAGTCCAATTACACCATGATTCACAAAGATTACCAACATAACTTGCATTCATCAACATATGCAAACCTGTTTGAAGGCATTCCAAGCTCTAAAACATATATGACTCAACTCATTTACATCTGAATCCCATCATCAATAACTTTTGTTACGTAAACAGATTAAGAAGTCTGATTCATGCAGTCATCAAAACAGAACGCCTTTATTTAAACTACTAGTTACAGAAATTATCCTTCTAGGAAATAGAAACTGATTTTAGGAAACAAAGTGGTTTACCACATGCTCACCGGGTGTCACTTACCTTATCAGCAGTCCATTTTGATGGCCAAGAATGTTACCCGATAAGGTAAATAAAGGTGGTGACACTGATAGTGAGTGATTAACCGGTAATCATTTGGTAAACAGCCCCTAAGCTTAACTTGTAGTCTATTTGAAACTCAACATACGCATTTTGGGATGACCATTAAAGGCCGTTTCCTTTGCGAAATTATGCCAAAGTTTTCGCTCATATCTAGTTTGGAAAGATCTTCGATATTACTCGGAAGAAACCAATCAAAGTTTTGGACCAAAGAAGCCAACATAAGGTGGATTTGCTTAATAGCATACGGGTATCCGGGACACATCCTCCTTCCTACACCAAAAGGCAAAAACTTGAAATCTTGGCCTTTGAAATCCACATTAGAGTTGAGAAATCTTTCGGGCTTGAAAGCCAATGGGTCGTCCCAAAGATTTGGGTCTCGTCCCATCGCCCAAACGTTGATTATGAGTTGAGAATTCTTGGGGACGGTATAATTCATGATTTCGCATGATTGTAGGATGGCTTGCGGATGTAGGAGTGGTGCCGGTGGGTGTAATCTGAGCGTTTCCTTAACGCATGCATGTAAATAAGGAAGTTGGGAGACCTGTGATTCCTTGATGCACGTTGTCGAGCCAAGTTTGTTAACGAGTTCCTCTCGCATCGCAAACATGGCTTGTTTGTTCTTAAGCAACTCGGCTAATGCCCACTCGATTGTGGAGGCTGTACTGTGTGTTCCTCCTGAGAATAGTTCCTGCAAACAAGCAACATTTTATATCAATCAGATCGGAACCATGAACAAGATAACACTACCACAAAATCGAGTTTGTAAGTAATCAGACAGTCTTAAATTAGAAGCCAGGAACCAGTTACCACAGTCAATTGGTTAATCTGAAGATCTGAAAACCCACATTTGATCATTGTGTCCAAGAAATCTTGTTCAATCAGCCCTTTCTGGTTCTCTCTTATATCTCTTCTTTCTTTAATTATATCTGCCCATACGTTAAACGCTTCATCCATAGCCTCTGACGTCTTCTTCTTTAGACCTTGAGGGTCCAACCCTTCAAATTTAGGATAGAAATCGGCAACATTTGGTGTCGTTCCCAGCTTCATAAGCCTATAAAGAGCTCCTTTCAACCCTCTACTACGAGTTCCCTTTTCATCATCACTTAATTCCAACTCGATAAAATCCTTCGAGAAACAAATGGTACCAAGTATGTTAACTGTCACAGCAAACACCATTTCTCGAACATTTACAAGATTACCTTGTTTTCTTTTCAAGAAACCCACCATCGAATCCACGTTTTTCTCCCTTAAAGAAGACTGTGACTCTAACCCTTTAGCGGAAAACAATTCTGTACGGCATAAGCACCTCAAAAGCTTCCAATGCTGGCTGCACTCAGTGGCCCAAATAAGAGAGTATTCCTGTAGACCATCTTGACCAGCTTTTGGCACCCATCTGTATGTGGGTAGTCGGTCATGGGCTCGCATGATTTCGGTTGCAGCCATGGGAGAAGATCCGATCACAAATAGATGAGTGCCGAGCTTCACCGAACACAAAGGACCATAGGATCGGGCTAATTGGGTGAGGTAGATATGAGGGCCTTTTAACATGTGAGGAAGGTTGCCTATAATCGGCCATGAATATGGACCTGGTGGAAGGTTTTGGCGGCGCGTTCTTGCCTTGGTTTTTACACCGACGACGATTATCAGGGCCAAGAGCGGCGGCAGGAGGAGGAGAAGGATGGCTTCCATTTGCATTGCAGCTAACGTTATGAGGCCACAAATCGCACCGCTGATGAATGATATATATGAACAAGTTGAATGATGAAAACCCATGTGACTGGTTGATTAATTTAATCCCAACTACGTATACCTGATCGTTTTCTATCAATTTTTTATATGAAAACTAGTTGTGTACGATACCAAATGTCAAATCTTGTCGATGGATTTTATATTCGGTTATGGATTGAGAAAAATGAAAAAAGAAAATTTAAATATCTATCTGAAATCCAATGGAGATCACCAAACAATTTATCCATGTGTTTAAAAAAATCTAATTGTAGAAAATGAAAAATAAAATTTGAAAATCCGTTGTTAGGTAATCACAATTGTTACCGACGGATTCTCAAAAGTCACTACAAAAATAAAGAGTATCAGCGAGAGATCATTAAAGGCCTCTTCCGTTGCTGATCTGTTGTTCTTTGTCCGTCGGTCAAAAGTTCGTAGGTATGCCATCAGCTACGGAATTTAACTACGGATTAGCAAGAGAAACTTTCAACGATGAAAACTTTCAGCGACAGATCAACGAGGGAAACTTTTGGTGATAGATCAGCGAGGAAATCTTTCATGGACGGATCAGCGAAGAACTTTTAGCGACGGATTAACGAGAGAAAATTTTTATAAGTTAATTACAAAATAAATAATTTATAATTACATAATTCATATATTTATTTACATAAAACCTGACCATAAAATAATAAAACAAAACTGTGAACAATTAAAACTAATGATTTATATAATTTAAAATATCCGATTCATGTAAGTTAATGTTCAAATGCATATAATCTAACTACCGAGAGGTGAAGGAAGGGGAAAATGGTATCCTGACTGCCGCATAAACACAACAAAATGCTCCGATAAGACGACATGTTCGGCTAACTAGACAGCGTGTCTGGCCTGTTCGACCTCTAAATCTGCTCTACTCTTTCGTTCGGCCTCCATCTCTGCCTGATGGCATTCCTCCCGCGTCTCCTCCTCTACCCTTGTCAACTTCTCTCAACTCCGCTACCTGTAAATATTCAATATTCGACAAAATCAGTAATTTGTTCGTAATAAAAGTAATGAGAAAGTTTATAACAATATAACCAACATGCATCCGCTGTTGAATCGTATGATCTTCCGGAACAATAAAACTGAATAAAACCCATTAACATACATCCGCTGTTGAATCATATGATCTCTCAATAAGACCTAGTAAAACTGAATAAAACCCAATAAAATGAATTAAGGAACAATAAAATCGAATAAAACCCATTAACACTCAATAAAATTGAATGAGGCCCAATAAAATTGAATAAAACCCAATAAAGCTCATTAAGGGCCAATAAAATAAATTAAAACCCAATAAAATCGAATAAAGCCTAATAAGGCTCATTAAGCCCCAATAAAAAATGGATTACGGACCAATGAAATGAATAAGGCCAATAAAATGAATCAAGACCTAGTAAAACCGAATAAAGCCCAATGAAACCAAGGACCAATAAACCGAATAAAGTCCAAATATCACACAAATATTATATATACATTCACATATACACATTCATTTAAACATATGCACAACACATACATCACCCGACACATGTATCTTCAACAATATATACATAGATCCAATCGTGGTTTGCAACTAATGCACATATATACACATCGTGTCATATGCATATAACACCGGTCGGTGGTTATATATACATATAACATATACACACGAGGCATACACATATGTACATATAACATACACATTAAATTAAATAAAGTGAAAAATTACTCAAATATGGATTACCAATAAGTTCAGTTTTGGACTTAATCGGGTCTAATTTATCCCATTTATAGGTTATAATAAGCCATAATGTTTCAAATGCATAGACAACAACTGAATGGCTTTAATATATATGCTTTAATGAGCCTTGATTAGTAAGTTCAATAAAATTATAATAGGTCTTAATTGCTTAACTATTTGTAGAGATGGCCAAAGTGGGTTCGAGTCGAAACCAGTTACACCCAATGATTCGGGCCCGTTTACGAGTTTTATGGAAACTCAAGGCTCAGGTCCATCTAGGTACAAATTTGGTCTAAAAAATGAGGGGCATTTTTACATTTTGGACCGTTTACTAAAATCCCCCCACATGAGGGGCACATGACATGCCTAAGGGTAATAAATTTAGCAGCATATGTGGGAGGAATAAGATTGGACTAAAAAACTTGATTTTTGGATCAAAACAAAATAAAAACATAATAAACTAAAACACCATTTGCATCCAATTTTGGCAATTTTGTAATTTGGATGACAATTAATCCATTTAATTTAGCAAATATTATCTTCTATCTCTCTTCTCATTTTTATATACATTTGTATTTTTCTCTCCATAAAATAAAGCTTCACGACAACCTCCTCTTTCTTGTTATTTTTTCCAACATCAGCGACTTCTCGACCACCATGAAGCTAACTCGACCATATCCATCCAAACAAATTATTGCCACCACCAAGGCCATTTCCGGCTGAAACCACCCATCACTGTCCCAACTTAGTTGCATATTTGAAAATGAAAGCAGTTGTTGATCTAAAACAGATATAAAGACGAAACCTAGTTTTCCTTCATTTTATGTTTTCTTGAGTGTTCTTGTGGGAAGTGGGTTAGTTTTTCTCCTCATGTATTCTGCAACCTGAGATCTCCGTGGTTGTTTGGGTACCGGAAGACATCTCATTCATGGTATTTTTGTGTTCACAATATTTTCACAATGATTACTTGTTCTATATATCTGTCTTTTCTACGCGTCGTCCATGTCTAGTGTTTTTTCTTGGTCTAGATCTTTGTTCACAATGTTTTTTTTCTTGTTCAAAATGTGATTTTTTTTTGTGTTCACAACGTGTTCTTTTCTTGTTCCAAATCTATGGCTTTTTTTGCACATCGTCCTTTTGTTTTTTTTTTATGTTGTTCCAGTCTTCCAGATTTGTGTTCGTAATGCTAATGTGTTCAAGTTCATGTTTGAGCCCGTTGATTTGCAATGTTGATATATTCAACTTCATGTGTTCACAATCTACAAAGTGGTATATTTGGTTACTTATTTGCTAGTTGGTAACCCTTGGTGAACCATAATGTTCATTATGTGTTGACTAGTTTTTAATTTACTTGATTAGTTTTTATCTCGTGTATTTTACGGTGGTAAAAAGATTGGTGAGTAGAGTGAGTTTTTTAAAATCCCCAATTTGTTCTTATTATATATTTAAGAGTGAATTACAAAATTGGTCTCTCGTGATTTAACTTATGTCACGTCATTCATCCCAAATATCACCTTATGTCAGCGAACATGACGATGAGATACAAACGAAATCACCATCATTCGCAAGTCTTAACTTAAAGTAATTTCAAGTCTCTAACATTAGCTCGTCTCATATTGGACTATGTTACATAAAACCCAATATAATAGTAATAAGTTTAACAACTAGTAAACACAGAATGGAACACATTATAAAGGAACCTATCTATGCTTTGTCCTTCCCTTTGTCCAAACCTAAACCACTGGCTCCTAGATGCATACTAATAGTCAGCTAAAAAGCTTGGTGCGTTCATAGTTTTTTTTTTTGATTAACCTGGATATCCAGCCCGCTATGTGAACTGACTAATCCCAGGGCGACCATCTGTTTTGCAAATACCCGGAGTCACCATATTTGAACCTCCGTGGCCACAAGAGGATATTTATTCCTACTTGGATTTGAACTTGGGACCTCCTGATACTTTTGACCTTTGGAACCAAGCTCAAACCAATCAGGCACCACCCTTATGGTTGTGAGTTCATGGTTTTCGTGCACATAGATACACAGTCCTCATTATGCATCAACAATAAACACCAATAAATAGTATACATGTTACTATAAAAACATCTAACACCAATGAGATCTTCTAAACAGCTCCACTAAGTATGTCAACCCTGTTATTGGTATTGCCTGGCGGCTCACACCTGTCTGGACGCCCATTTCTGGGTCGTGCCACCCCTAAATATGACATATCGACCCCGATCCCATACCCAAGTATCGACATCATAATGTGCCACATGAACACAAACTCCAAATAACATGCTAATAATATTTAAAAAGCCAATAAATAAATAGCATGCATCACTTCATTAATGTTATATACATGTAAACAGGCACGTGTAAACATATACACAAAATATGCTACCATGCATCACATATGTAATTCCAATAAATAACATGTCAAATAAATCTATTTACGTATGTATACATATCATAAGGTCTCATGAAGACTAGCCTGAATACATGTCTGTCTAAGAAAATAAATCCCCACTTACTGACCTACATGGCATGCACCAAAGTATTCTATCAACTACCATATTTTCTAAAAACTCAACAAAAGTCAACTATGATCAACCCTCGGTCGACCCCCGAGCACTCGGTTCATCGAAGTCCCAAAACGTCAATTTAATCACCAAGTAATTTTATAAGCTCCATCTAGCAAGTTAACACGTCCTAATAATTATCTGCCTGAATTATGACGCTTTAATCGTCTTATTAAATCAACTAAATAATTAAATGATTTATATTCACATATCCCTTAGAAATAGTTAATTAATAAATATTAATTTCTAATTGACCAATATATTAAATTAAATTAAACCCAATTTAGTATACGAATTAAATTACACCTTCCATAGTTTAATAAACGACTAAATAATTTATTTAATCCATTCTAGGAATTAATATTAATTTCCAACTAAATAGTATATTAAATTAAATTAATTTTAAATTAGAAAAATATTTTAATTAATTAAATTTCCAATACTTTTAATTAATTAGCCCAAAGAATAAGGCCTAAACAATTATAAAGTCAGATGGGCTTCTAGCCCAAATAAAAGTATAGATTTATTTGTTTAAAAAAGAAGACTAAGAAATATAATTGAATCTCAACCTAAACATCCAGCCCAAGCCGGTAGCCAGGCCTGAGAACACCCGGGTCGGATTTGAG